AGATGTCCCTGCTTTCCTTTCCTGCCACTTTTTCTTCTTTCAGTGTATCTTCAGTACCAGGTGCTCAGAACAATATTATTCATGTTTCTATTCATCTGCAAATGTTAGAAACTTCCTTTCTTTTAAAGAGAACCTGAGTTTCTTATTTAATCTGTGGGCAATCAGTGTTTGGGCTTTAAGAAGAAGCTGCAAATATTATAAAATTCAGATTTTAACAGCTGGACTGTTAAAAGTAAAGGCCTTAACAACATTGTCTGATCCATGCATACCATGGTAGTGTTTTATCAGGCTAACCAGGGCAATTTCTGAATCAGTCTGGAGCAAAGCAGCTCTCCTAAAATGACTATTTATTGCACAACTCGGAGATTTTACAAATTTTACATTAATGTACATATTTGCTTAAATGTCTGTAATGCTGCTTTCCTACATACCTTTTGGCATTGGCACAAGGCCTCAGTAAGTCTAATTTTTCTGTCTTTGTTAAAACTGTAGAAGTACTCAGTATGTACTTTGATATTTCCATGTGATATTTCCTAATGAAAATAGTTTTCTACGTTTGATCCTGAACAGTCGGTTTAATCACATGCCTAAAAAGTGTCAGTCCTTTGCAGATCTTTAAATACTATGAAATTTTTTGTAGGCATGGTAGCAGCAGTTCTGGAATTGGGGATATTTTACATTGGTGTGTCTGGAGATTTACTATATAGTGAGATGAGTGTAGGCAGTTTCTTGGCTGCTTCATCCATCTTTCCTTGATAACACATACTGTTTGAAAGAGGAGTTTGAAATCTGGTTTGCCATAAATACTAATTATATTCTTCGTGTGGGTTGTCGCTTTTGTAGTCGGGAAAACTTGCTTTGTGCTTAGTGGGCCAGCTCACAGTGCTTATTGTAGAGGGTAATGAATGATGCTTATTTGTGCTGTACAGTTGACCACATCTGGGGGTGAGAACATGCTGGCAGCTAATGGGTCTGGCAAATGACCAAGCTGCTGCAAAACAGGATCTTGTGTTAAGCAGAAAAGTAAAATTGCAAGGAACCAGTCATCCTTTGTGCCTTCTGATGGCTTCTAGTGGAAATGACAAGCATTAGCTGTGGATATGATGCTGAGATCTACCCTATCACATGCATTTTTTAAGTCAATGCCTCAACACTTTTTACATTTAGCTACTTCAGAGTTTATTTCATCCCTAGCAATTGTAATTTCTAGTTTGTAGAGTTGTGTCCATCTGCATGCACTCTTCTTTTTTTTTTCTGGAACACTTGTGTGCTTAACTTTTGAACTGATCGTGTTGGTAAAGAACAAGTAGCTCTGCCTGGGAGTTGGTGTCATGTTCTTGCCATTGAGCAGTTTGCTAGGAGTGGTTCTGGTGCTGCTCCTAGTTATGATCTCAGGGAACCAGGCAATGACCTTTGCTCCAAGCTTAGTTGCACTAAGTAGAAAAGGCTGCCAATTCCTTACAAACCCAGAAGTGCCTTTGAGTGACTCTAAGGAAAAGGAATAGTATGAGAATAGCATCTGTTGGACTGATGACAAACCAGTTGCACCAAAAGGTTGCAAGATGAGATTGACAGTCCCCCAGTTAGATACCCTTCCCAGGGCCTCTTGGTGTTGGTGTTAACAAGAAAGAAAAACAAAGTTTATATGTCCTGCTAAATAATTTTGTTGACAGGTTTTAGAATGGAGAGAGCTTCAGTAGTATTTGATTATCTGTGTTTAAAACAACTTGACCATCAGATCCAAATAACACAACAGATTTGTGGTACTAATTAGCCATGTGAGAGAGAACAACTTTTGAGTTTTTTTGGTCCATTCTAGTTTTGAAAACTGGTTTGTGGCATCTGACGAGACAAAGTACAGCTGCTAAGCATCAAGGTTCTGCCACTAATTTCTAAGTGTAGGTATATATGTGTTCCTAGCTCCCTCTCTTATATCACTGTCAGGATAAAACAGATCCTATCACAAATAAACATTCAATAGGATAAATTGTTTTTCATCTGTACAAACTTTGCTTGTATTTGAATGAGTTTACTGAAATTTACATTTTTAAAATTTTGCCTTTTCCTTCTACTTAAAAAAAAATATATATATTCTCTTTACTATATATGTTCTGAAGAGTATGTAGGTATTGTTTGTTTTACCTTTTGAGTGCATGTTTTGAAAAATAGGCAAACTGAAGGACAGCTGTATTCATATATTTTACTGAATGAGCTAGGAAAATGTAAATTAAATAAGCCTTTACCTTTTTTGCCTACTCTCCATTTTGTTTCTTAGCAGACCAGATACCTTGAAAGCTTATTGTAAGCAATGTGTGGAAAAAGAGGTGCCCCGTTCTATTCTTTGGTTGATCCTCCAAAAACAGTGAAGAAAAAAATAAAAATAAATCATGCTTATGTAATCAGGAATTAGATTCTGTAAAAAGAGAAGGAAAAATATGGCAGCTTAAAAGCTTGCTGTGGGATTACAGTTGTTTTTAGCACTTGATGGTTAAGCATCTTTTACTGCTGTGTCTTTGGACTCCCATAACTGATAATTTAACTGCTAATTCAGTTGTATGATGATTGATTGCTGTGAACAATTCCTTAAAGAGCACTACAGAATTCCTCTGTGTTTCTCTGCTGGCTGTAGTGGTTTTTACTTCCTCTGTTGGCACACAGCAGTGTAAGTGATAAGTATGTAACAAAGTGGTGTATACATAGAAAATGGTAAATGTATTTGCTGGAAACCTTTTGGAGCATGTTTTTAGATGTAGAAGGCTGTGCTGATCATCTGTTTTGCAGCTGAATTTTGACCGTTATTTTCTGTTTGCCATAAGTAAAAAATGTATGATGAACAGATTAAGGTTAGATTGTTTTTCTCTCTTAACAGCACTATTCTATTTATAACTATAAATCTTCTTTTTTTTCCCCTCCCACCTCCTCCCTCACATCTGTAACAGCTAGCCGATGGCGGAACCTCTTCTCTACACCTGCCTCCTTGGCTTTTCCCTATAGTCCTGTTGCAAGACTCACCCCATATACCAATGGCATTAATAGTCCCAGCTTCTCTAAAACCTCCAGTAAAGCAATACTAACACCTGAACGGACAGGTAATGCTTATCTTCTTATTGATTCACAGTGCTCACAGAATTGCTTCATCTAATCTAATCTTGCTGGCATTTAATAGCAATACATTGTATGGATGATTTTGTAGACTCTCATCTCATAAGGGAGATTTTCTTTAAACATTACCTACAGTTTGGTAATTGGCTAGTAATGTAGCTATGTTCTGTTTTACACAGCATGTCACAGGACAGCAATGCTAGGTAATAGTCTATTTCTCAATATTGGTTTACCTGAGTGTGTAGTTGCAACTGTGTCAGTTTAAACAGTTCTCAGCTTTGCCCTTTACTGCTCATTTCTGCCCCACTGTGCCCCTTCCGTATGTCTACAGAAACATTAGTGCAGCTGTGTAATTAAGTTGCAGGGAGAACTTACCTAATACAAAAATAGCTGGCGGAATCATGGCTGTTTGGTGGCATTGTTGCTGCTATCCAATATTTATTTTGTTTGCCACTGATTTTCAGGGGACGTGGGAGTTTTAGAAAAAATACAAACTCCTGTGGGCTGTAAATTGCAAAGAGTTGCATTTTTCCTTCTTCACTACAGGTATCAGGAGTCAGTTTATGTCTATGACTTCCCTTAAACTGCAGTGGCAGTGGGGAAGATAATCTGGGGAAGAGGCATTAACGTTTTGTTGCTGGTAGGACCAGGTGTGGTCTAAGGAAGTTAGCACTGTTGTCACGCTGATATGTGCAGTTTTATGTACAATGTGTGAAATCAGTGCAGAAAGTTATGGATATGGGCGCAATGGGTGGGATACAGCTCCAGACTGAATGCTTAGTGTAGGTGTCTATGTGTGAGCGAGGGCTAAGTTGCCCTGTTCAATGGGATGTAGTTAGATTCCTAATTTAAGACATCTCACACCATTTGAGATACCCTCAGGTGTCTTTTCTAGCTTCCCACTGCTGCTCCAAAAGGACACAGCTGTTACTACCTCTGCAAAACCTTGAGGACCACTGTTATCTTGCAAATTCATAGAAGCAAACATGTTTACTTCTTACAGACCTTCCACAGGAAAGAAGTCTCCTGTGTGTCCTTTTGTGTTGGAGGTATTGTTAGGAAACAGCTGAATTTAGGGTGAATTTTAGGTGGCTGCTTTGAGCAATACTAGAGGATGCAAACACAGCTGTGAAACAAGCAGCTGGTGAGCCATCATCACAGCAGTTCTTACCCTGCAGGCTATGGGCCTCTGCTGGTCCAGAGGATATTAGAAAGTAATTTACTATTTGATTTGAAGAATTTTTCTTTAAAGTTGGACAACAAGTAGCTCATGTAACTCATTGCAATTTAATTCATATTTTACTATCATGGAGGAAGAAAGCAGAATCCAGAGCCCTCTCCAAAAGGTAGCTCTGTGAAGGGAGCAGCAGTGCTTTCTCTGGTGTTGTGTAGTGATCAGTCTTAATTGTTATTGTCCTCAATTTATCTGATGATTACAAACAAGTGTAAAAAAACCAACAAAACTGTAAAACTTAGGTAAATGGCTCTGATAGGGAGTCTGAGTAGTGAGCAGAAGTTGGTGACAACATACTTGCTTTTCAGAATAGAGTAGGGAGAACCACAGTCCCATAAGAAAGATTCAAATGCAGATGTGTTTAGACTATGGTAATTAATCTGAGCTGTATCAGATCTGTGTTGGGTAAATTATTCATTGTCTGGGCTATGTGATGCTATTTTGGGAACAAGCAGAGAAATTCAGGTTCCAATACTACAGCTTACTATTTCTCAGGAGTATCAAAGCACTTTTCCATTTGTTAGTGGATTGCACTACACTTCTCAAAGTTTCTGTCTGTCATACAGAAAATATTTTAAGCTACTGTAACATAAAGAGCAGATAGTCGTGACAAAAAGATGGCCAGACATATTCACAGACTAAAGGTTATGTTTTTCTTACACAGGTTACATTTCTAGGAGTTCCCCATTAAGCCCACAGTCATCAATAGACAGTGAGCTGAGCACCTCAGAGCTGGAGGATGATTCCATCTCCATGGGATACAAGCTGCAGGACCTCACCGATGTTCAAATCATGGCTCGTCTACAGGAGGAGAGTAGGTGGCTTTTTTTCATTTTTCAAAATAGCCTTGAGGAAGATTTCCTGTAACAGTCAAAACTGCTCCAGTCCGGTCTCAGTCCAGTGGTTCTTTCTTAAACATTGTCCACTCTTGGGTGGCAGGTGGAAAAACTCTTCAGCTGCACAGGGAAAGTGCACACATTGTTGGGTTCAGAGTAATGGTACTGGATCTTTCAAAACTCGATGCTTATATATTTCTGAACCCTAAATGATAGCTCCATACCCATTGAATACATTTAGTTTTAGAAGATTTATAAAGTCTTAAAACATTATGTAAAATTATTTTATTTCTGGGGAGGGAAGATGCTAAAGCGTTTTTCTCATGCATACATTTAATGAGAAAGATAGAAATAAGCAGCTTTCATGTATTTCTTTGCCTCTACTTTGGTTTTCTTAGTTGTTGGATGAATTTTGAATATAATTCCTTTCTAAATGCGGATTCGAGGCATGTAAATACAACATTTTCATTTGAGAATAGTAATTATGCACAAATCTGAGCCCAAAAGCTTGTTTGATGTAGATTATAGTTTGTCTTGATAGTAATTTTTGGCAAATGTCTTTGCTCATAAAAAGGCATTTCACTTAGAAGTCACTCGGTCAATAAGTGCAGTACCATTCTCACCTCCTCTTATTGCCAAGTGAAACATCAAGGAGAAAATGAGATGAAAAACAAGAGAAACTCAGAGATGGTGACTAAGGAAAGTGCAAAGTCGGAGGAGACTAAATGCAATAGAGAAAAAAGGCAAAGAAGAAATGAGTGCTCCAGCAACCAGGCCAGACCAGTCACTTGTCAGCAGTCAAACTTACTGAGCTTCTGGTATCACTCATTACATTCAGCAGAGAAATTAGCAGGTGTGAGACTTTACAAGATAGCTCAGTTCTCAGCCAAAAAATGTGTGTGGTCACAGCTTGGAAAATCTCTGGTATTATGTTAAAGTTATAATAATTTTTTTAAAAAAGCAAAAACACTATCAAAGATATGAATTATTTTGTTACTTAAATGACAGCTGTCCTCATCTCCTTCAGAGTGAGGTTTAAAAAAGACTTCTGGTACTTAGCTCTTTAAGGAAAAACACTGTTTATCTTCTAATCTATGTCAGGTGTAATGGTTGAATCTCATCCTGGTAGTAGTAGCTGGTGCAGAATGTTTGAATACATGATGGTTGTTGTCCACTTAATCCATGGATAGTGGTAGTTTTATATGTGCATGCAAGCATGCTGCCCTCAGGGCCACCAGCAGAAACTCCCACTTGAGGGGTGTGGTGGGGATAGCATATTGAGAAGTTTCCATAATACTAGCAAAAACATCTGTCAAAGCTGAGGGCTTTTCGTAAATCTAGGGAAGTTGTTATCAGCAGCTATTGGCAGATTTACTCAGCTCCTGAAAATGTGATGTATATCCCCTTTTTCCCTGACTGCTGTGCAGCTGGGAAAAGAGAGGATGTACAAAGCCTGAGTATGTTTCTGTATCACTGGACCTGGAGCAAAAATGCTCTTCTGGGGCAATTCTGATAGTGGGATGGTTTACAAAACCTGGTGTTCTGAGGAGGGGATGGTAAGATGTGTTTGTGTCTAAAACACGGCCGTGTTTCTGCTAAGCCTTGTCCATGAGACTGTCTGCTAGCAGGAACTGCTTCTGGTTCAGGATGGTTGGAGGGTCAGAATATCTACATGGATTGTAAATTTATGGAATGGCATTTTCATTGCATGAATAGAAAAGTGTAATAGCAATGACTTGGAAAACTACTAGACTGAGTGTTAATTCCTCTAATTTAGGGTATTTAAAAATATTTCATGCTCATGTAGTCTTCACAGAATCACAGAATCTTAGGGGTTGGAAGGGACCTCAAAAGATCATCTAGGCCAACCCCCCTGCCAGAGCAGGATCACCTAGAGCACATCACATAGGAACATGTCCAGGCGGGTTTTGAATGTCTCCAGCGTAGGAGACTCCACAACCTCTCTGGGCAGCCTGTTCCAGTGCTCTGTCTTGCTGTTGACTGGGAAACAGGCATCTCCTAAAAGCAGTTAATCTTATTTTAAGAGAAGCATCTAAGACATCTCACAAGAACTGCATTTCGGAGATGCCTGTATTTTTGTTGTTGTTGCTTTAAAAAAAGGGATCTCAAAGGAGTTAGGTCAGGCTTAGATTCCTGGAAGGTGGACACTGAAAATTGGATTGGATGGATCCTACCTCAGATCTTTAGCCTGGTGACATTGTAAATCCAGTTCCTGCTGTAAAATTATGTTGACTTAACTTGCTTAGGTTTCAATACTAAAGTGCATGTTAAGAGTTAATCACTTAGCTGAAGCCAAATCATCCTCTTCTTGGAATTTACAGGCCTTAGGCAAGATTATGCTTCGACTTCAGCATCTGTGTCAAGGCACGGCTCAAGTGTCTCTGTGCATGCGGGGAAAAAAGGGACGTGTGGTGACCAGGAATACGATCGCTATAGTTTGGAGGATGAGGAAGAGTTTGACCACCTCCCACCTCCACAGCCACGGCTGACTCGCTGCTCCCCCTTCCAGAGAGGGATTCCTCACTCACAGACTTTCTCCAGTATCCGGGACTGCAGGAGGAGCCCAACCTCCCCACACTTCCCTTCAAATACTTATCAGCAGCCCTACTACTCTTCTCAAGCCCAAACTCCAGAGCAGCAACCAAATAGGATGAATGGAGGTGGGTCGCATGCATTTCTAAGAGGTGGTCTTTGTGCAAAGTGCCACTGCCATTTTAAAGGTCAGGTTGTGTCAACAGAGTGAAGTGAGTGCATGACAGCTAGATTGGTCCATAAGTTGTGACAAGCATTTTAAGGCTGTGCAAAGATTTGAGATGTATTACTGTTGAGTAATGTGCTACAAAATGTAATCTGTCACCTGGTTATGAAAGTTGTTGCTTAAGTCTGTTTTTAAGTGCTGCAAGTCTAACCACATGGAAAGAAACAAGAAAAAGGAAAGAGCAGCATCTTCCAGCAGGCTAATAGTTTGTTAGAAGAACTGATGGGGCTTTCACGCTTGACCTGTGCATGTCCATCGTGGGTATGGTAAAATATAAAATAGGGGTTTACAATTTTCATTCCTTTCCTGACTCTGCTGTTAATGCAGCTATGCTGTGGATCTGTGATGAGTGAGTGCATATGACAGGGGTCAACACTCTGTTCGTATTCCAGACTGTTTAAGCCCTGGGACATAATGTCAGTCCCAAACTGCCCTGAGCCACTGCTGGTTTTTGCACTGCATTTAAGATGTATTTCAGAGTCTCTGGAAGATTTGTCTCTCGGTGCTTACTCAAGACTTTAGTTACCTTTTGTTGTTGCTGCTACCTTCCTTTTATTCTATATGATGATAACAGCTTTCTTCCTCCTGCTGCATCTTTCTTTCCTGTTCCCTCAGTCGTTTTCCCAAGCTAATTCAAAACAGTCAGGTTTTCAGACAGGTTCCTGTTTGTAACATTGCAGGTTACAGCTCACCCTTGGGCAAGAAAATAAATGTGTTGTTCAAAACAGTTGCTATTTATAGAGCACTACAGGTATGCATGCTGCTTTCCTGACAAATAAAATGCGGCAGGTTGGTGCCAAAAGCACTTGCATTCAAAAAAAGACACAGCATGGCAGTATCATCAACAAGTGGCAGTATATAAAGAAGGCTGAAGTTAACAGAGTAGAGCAACGTGGGTGGTTGTTGGTACAACATATGTGGCATATTAATTTCAATGTTGTTTTTCTTGCTGGTGAGCTACAAGAATTAGACAGCACTGACGGTTTTGAAGAAATGTTGCGGAAATAGTAAGGAGATAGAGGTTAAAAAGGATGTTGGGGCATGGGAGTAGGGAAGTGATCATGCCCCTGTACTCGGCACTGGTGAGGCCACACCTTGAGTGCTGTGTGCATTTCTGGGCCCATCATTACAGGAAGGACATTGAGGTGCTGAAGTGGGTCCAGACAATAGCCACCAAGCTGGTGAAGGGCCTAGAGAACAAGTCATATAGGAGCGGCTGAGGGAACTAGGAATGTTTAGTTTGAAGAAGGGAAGGCTGAGGGGACACCTCATTGCTCTCTACAACTACCTGAAAGGAGGTTGTAGGGAGGTGGGTGTTGGCTTCCTCTCCCAAGGGAATAATGACAGGACCAGTGGAAATGGTCTGAAGTTGCGCCAGGGGAGGTTTAAGAAGAGTTTCTTTACTGAAAGAGTGATCAAACACTGGAACAGCCTGCCCAGGGAGGTGGTTGAGTCACCATCCTGGGATGTATTCAAGAAACAAGTAGATAAGGAACTTCAGGGCATGCTTTTGTGGCTGAGATTGTGGGTTGTGTGTTGTGAGTTTTTTTGGAGTGTGGTTTTAAGGGGTGGGTTTTTTTGGTTGGACTTGGTAATCTCAGATTTCCTTTCCAACCATGACTGTTCTGTGATTCTTTGATATTTTATTCAGGAATAAGGGCAGGCTGTGGTGCTGAAAAGTTTTTATATGATCCCCAAATGCTTTTTCAATTGTTTTTTTTTGTGTTCCCTCTCAACGGAACTGAGGCATTGAATTTCTACGTGAAAATCTCAGGAAGTACTTACAGGACACTGAAAAATACTAGACTCCTAGTTTATCGACTAGAAAGCAATAAAAGTAAAAGGCCACCAATTTTACCACCTGGCTGCCTTTTTTCTCAAGAACTTCATGTTGGATAATCTGGTTGGTGTTGCTCAAGTGGACACATGCAACTTCAGTTACCTGTTTGTTGAGTTGGCAGTCTTAGAGCAGCCAGTACCACTATCATTAGAGGGGAATTATCTCTTCAGCTTCTGCACCTGCAACCTCAGACTTATGCAGCACTGAGACATGCAAGTGGCAAGTGCTGATGGTGAGAAACGTCCTACTTTGGCTGTGTTCTTTTGGCAGACAAGGAATCAAGTGTTTGCTGTATTGAGTGTGTCTGAGTAGTATTATGAGAACATCTCATCAGCACTTCTCATCAACTTGGCAACAACTTCATTGTCTTCCAGCAATTCCTGCACATTGAAATTGAGGTAAACTGCAGAATAAGAATTTGTCTAAAGCTCAGTAAGATGGACATCGTGTTTTCACACTGTTACAGTAATCCAAGCCAAATGAGAAAGAAGGATGTGATAGAGTTTTATTATGGCTCTCAATATGTGTTGAAACCATAATCCATAATTAACCAAAATTGCAGGTGCCACATGCTGTGCTGCTCTTGGTCATTCCACTAGTCTTCCCAAATGTCTCTTCCTTCTAAGACATCACTTGTGTTCTTGGATGTGCAGTCAGCTGTCTAGCCACTGGTTTGTCTGAACTTTCACAAGGATCTCCATAAAAGAAGAATAAGTGGCAAGTAAACACTGAACTTTGGCACTCATTGTGGGGTCAAAATACAGTGTTTAGCTTTGACACATCTCCCCAAAACTAGTCTGTGTGTTTAGCTCAGGTACATTTTTTTGCCTTTAAGAACAATTGGTATGAGGGATGCTAGCCTGCCTGCTTTCAGTGATGGTATGCTAGTTGAGATCCTTACTCTAACTGCTTGTACTGGAACAAATATGCTGAAGGTGTGATAAACTTGGAAAACTTGAATAATTCTTTTAAGAGTATGGTATTGGTTGCCTGATGTGAAGTGCCTATGTTTAGATGCTGAGACAGTGATGCCCACATGTGTATGAAGGGCAGAGTTCAGCTGCTCATATACAAACATTTAGTTCTGTATGAGGTACTCTGATATCCCCTGTTTGGCTTCACCATCACAATGTGTCAGTGCTGTTTAGATGCCTTGGACAGCCCAGGGTCTATGAAATAGCAGGATGTATCTGTACATAGGCACTAACTTGTGCAGTACGTGTCTAATCTCTCACTATAGCCAGTGGTTTGCTTGTTCTCCATCCACAGGATTGCATTTTAGGTGGCATAAAGATTGTTTGGTTTTCCTGGTGCCCTGGTAATCTTCTGCCTGTGCTTGTGGTGAGAATGCTTTCATAGATTTTTTTCCAGCTGTGTTTGAGTCCATAATTTTGAACTTACACATTGTTCTTGCTGATGTATTTGAGCAAAATGCTGCACCTTGGTGTGATTTTGGACCTCTTGCCCTGTTTTAAATTGCTGTACATCTATTTTAAAATACAATTCCATACATCTGTTTTAAAATACCACACCATCTAACCCCCACTCGCAGATCCAGGTTCTTTCTCTCACCTTGATGCCACCAGTATATTAGATGAATGGTAGTAGTCTTATTTTTCTGCGAGTCCCCAGCAGCTTGCTGGACTGAAAGGTTTCTGGTAAATCATGTGTCCAAATGTATGTAAGTATGATGTGACATATAATGAGTTCAAGGTATATTTGAGGCCATTTGTAGCATAGGCTGTAGCTCTTAAATAATTTTTTGCAGCCGTCACCTGTAGTGTGTGTATGTTGTATTTGCTTTCCAGTAGGGTTTTTTTCCAGTTCTGGCAAGAATGCACTAATAGAAAAGCTTTGCATGAAATCTTCAAGTTGTTTTGTTTCCTTATTTAATTACACCCCCTCCCTAAATCAGCTGAATTGTTCGTAATGATGAGTTTAGTCAGAAGAATTCCATCTGTGTAATTTTTCTGGTTTTTTAGAGATTTTGTTGTTGGTTAGTGGATCAGAAATAGATCATTTAAAGAAGATCTGAGAGAGGTGAATAGCTTTTAAGTAGCTGTTGTAATTAGCCAAAGTGAGTCCATCTAGTTATTGTGTGTTTTATAATGTAACTAAGCTTTTAATACATTGGCAGTGGAA